ATTGCTGAGGCTTGTGGTAGGCGAAAGTCATATCGCTGTAGAAAAAGCCATTGTTTTAAGGGTTCCAAAGCTTTTCTGTATATCTTGCACGATGAACTCTATAGAATGTAGTTGTCTGATAGAAACTCGCATTGTTTGCGTTTTGTGACTGTACAATGTTAACCTGTTTATGTATCACATCAGTTGATATACTTTACTACTAAAGGCAGTATTGCTAAATGCTCTTGTTATATAGATATATATGTCTTGAAATATCTTGAAATTTCATTTTTTGTTTGTTAGATGAAAATAATTGATGTTAAAAATTTTTGGTTATTGGTACTGTCGTTTATTTGGTTTTTTTAATTAGTTTTTTATCTTTATAATTGGTAGGTTTTTATACTTTTTAATAATTAGGCAAAGATTTGATTTTCATAGCAGGTTATTTTTGCTAACTGTGTAAAATTGGAGTTAAGCAATCGTTACTGACACAGAGGCAGATTCAATGATACCGCCCTGTTGAGATACTTTGTTGAGAAGGTTATTCCAGTTTTACCAGATAATTTTTAAAATTATCGGAATTGTAATATCTGTAGTGTAATATTGTAATATTTAATGGCCTGGAACTGATGCTGTATCGGTTGTTTAGCTGTAGCTGATTGCAGAGGATTTGAATATGTGGTTTAAAAAAAAAAAAAAAAAGCTTGTTCATTTACGTTTATTAAAGAGGCGTTTGGAAGTTAATTCTTATTTCGCGTCTAAGTGTTTATTTATGGCTATTTGTGTTGCTGAGTGTTTGTCTGTCTCACTGGTTTTTTTCATTGCCATTGGTTCTAAAATGGACCAGTTGAGCAATTTTAAGTTTTTGCAAAAATCAAAAAACATGAATAATATAAAAACTATTCCCTGATGTACGCCGCCTTTGTTCTTTCTTTTCCATACTTTATTTTTACTGATATTTCAGTTGCTTTTGATTTTAATAGCTTTGAAGTTTTTTAGTGATTACTCTCCCGAGGGGAATGAAAGTGGCCGAAATTTTTTCTTTGGTTGCCTAAGTGTTGTTTTTAGGCAGTAATTATTGTGGCGGTTTTGATCTAGTTTAAAAGTGGTTTTTGTTTTTCCAATATTTATCGAATTTTTTTCAGTTTTTTTTTTTTTTTTTT